CTTCTCAAGCCACCTCTATGGTGTCAAGACAAGTAGAACTCCTTCCCTTCCCACTTGAAACCCAGGCAGATGTGACAGGGGCTGGTACTCAGGAGCGTTAATTCTTGTCATCTTTTTTGTCATCATCCTCCGAGGGGTAGGAATGCCACGTCAGCCTTTCCTCATAGAAGGATATGACAACCTGTGGGCACTTGACATTGGCTTCCTTGGCAGGGACCAGGTCAGCCTCATCAGAGTTTTTCCTGCAGAATAAAGCAAAGAGAGACTTTGAGACCAGGTGCTGGTGGTCTATCCTAAGCACTAACCCAGGGGATAGTGCTTTAAAAATAGTAATTTTATAAAATTGGCTAGGAAACAACGAAAATGTGGCCCAAACAGCATTTACTGGCAATTTTATGTTAAGTGACATCCTCAGAGTGACATCCTCTCCTGTTGAAAATTCCCTCTCGGGATTCATGTATGTCAAAAGTAAGGTCAATGGACTTAACTGATCACATCTGAACATCTGGGCAAGGCCCCCAAAAGCATGACTCTCTAGATTCTCTGAAGGAAGAGAGGCTATCTAGATTCTCTGAGGGAAGAGAAGATACCACACTCCTCCAAAAGCCATATCCCAGCTGATAAGAACCCACGGAGAAATCCTGGCTTTGTCATAGGATTTTTTTTTTTTTTTTTTTGAGATGGTGTCTCACTCTGTTGCCCAGGCTGGAGTACAGTGGCGTCATCTCGGCTCACCACAACCTCCACCTCCTGGGTTCAAGCGATTTTCCTGCCTCAGCCTCCCCTAGTAGCTAGGATTGTAGGTGCACACCACCACGCCCGGCTAATTTTTATATTTTTAGTAGAGATGGGGTTTTGCCATCTTTACTAAAGATATTGGCCAGGCTCATCTTGAACTCCTGACCTCAGGTGATCCACCTGCCTCAGCCTCCCAAAGTGGGATTACAGGCATGAGCCACCACGCCCAGCCTGTAATAGGATTAAATACCACATCTGGCATTGGTCAGAGCAAATGAAGGTGGACACATTTTTGCATAATCGTAATTACACTGACACTTCCAAATGCTATCCTCACACAACTTCCAGGTGCTTTGAAATGATGTTTCAACATTGGGAGGTAGGAAATGAGGGAGCTGTATTTTTCTAAATTTTAAAATGTTTTCAAAATTTGAAAATCATACACATTATAAGGGAATTAGGAGTAAACTCTGAGGCCGGGAGCAGTAGCTCATGCCTATAATCCCAGCACTTTGGGAGGCCAAGGTGGGCAGGCCCAGGAGTTCGAGACCAGCCTGGTCAACATGGCAAAACCCCATTGCTACTAAAAATACAAAAATTAGCCAGGCATGGTGGCTTGTGCCTGTAATTCCAGCTACTCGGGAGGCTGAGGCACAAGAATAGCTTGAACCTGGGAGGTGGAGGTTGTAGTGAACATAGATCACCCCACTGCACTCCAGCCTGGGTGACACAGCGAGACTCTGTCTCATTTAAAAAAAAGACAAAAAAAACCCCAAAAACTATTGTCTTCAGGTTACTAGGCATGTCCTAGACAGAGGCAGTAGCATAAGGCAAGCAGGAGACACCTGATGAGATCTCTGACAAAGCACCACCCCAAACAACAGGAAACCAGAGCCACACAGTCCCATGGAGCAGAAGAGTAAGCTGATAATCTATGTTTTTGAACAATGGACCCAAGAGAATGGGAGGGAAATGGGAATCTGAAGCATGCTGCCATTTGCTAACAGCTGAACAACACGCATTGAGTTAAATTCAGTCATTTCACTCCCTAGAAATATTTACTACTTTTGGAAATATACAAAAATCTCTATTCTCCAGTAAAATAACTTTTTAAAATGTACTTGGTCTTATAGTCAAATCCAGTTTTAACCTGTAGACAGCAGTGGGTCGGCCAGGTGCAGTGGTTCACCTGAAGTCAGGAGTTTGAGACTAGCCTGGCCAACACGGTGAAACCCCATCTCTACTAATAATACAAAAATCAGCCAGGCGTAGTAGCGCGTGCCTATAATCCCAGCTACTTGAGAGGCTGAGGCAGGAGAATCGTTGAACTCGGGGGGCGGAGGTTGCAGTGAGCTGAGATCGCTCCACTGCACTCCAGCCTGGGCGAAAGAGCGAGACTCTGTCTCAAAAAAAAAGATAGTAGTAAGTCAACCAAAGGAGTGCAAATCTTAAGCAATATGGAGATACTACTGTAACTCACACTGGTCACATGCAGAAAAAGTATATTCTAGCTAGACTGAGTAACTCATGGTGTAACTTCTCCCACCCCATAAGCAGCACCTTAAAAATGAACTTTTCTCCTATAGGTTAACAATAAATCAGCTAAAAGAGGGGCAGCTTCAGTAACCGCCTAAGGAATACATAGGAAGAGAATAAGGTAGGTAGTTGTGACTCTGGCTTTCAGTGGTGCTAAAGTTAGGCCCCTCCAGCCATACTGTAAAATAAGATATTAGTACAGACACAAGTTTCAGAGTAAGTTCTGGACTGACAAAAGGACAAAGCTCCACAGACATTGTGAGTGTGTGTGTGTATTTTAAAGGACAAAGTTTGTAGAATGCTGCCTTCATTGGCAATGGCTTAGAATTATTCCTTCCTAACTTTAAATACAATGATTGCTATCCACTTTGTGGGGAGAATGAGCAAGAAATAGGAAGAATGGCCTTCTTTTGACAGAGTAGGAAAATTACAGAGATTGCTGGGATAACTATCTTCATTAGGCTGTTTCATGGAGTGTTACTATCACTGGTATTTATACTCATAATGGAAAAAAGCAGGCTTGCTCTATGCTTAATAGCAGTTAAGGAGCCTTGCTGACCCCTGCTGGCTGATCCTGTAATTGTAGAATCTGCACAAATTGAAAAGGATCCAACAATTAAGGACAAAAGGAAGAACTACAAATTCTTTCCTAACCCTGAGAATTTAGCAGAGTTTCTGATTCTGGGGCCAGCCTCATCTTTATTAAGGAGGTGGTAGAAAGAGAGGGTGGTCCAATCACATTTCATTTTTTCCCCTTTTATTTACCGTAATGAAATGTAATTCCTTCCCACACTCTTTCCACTCTAGATTGTCTCCCATCTCCTAAAAATATGGGCAAAGACCTAAGATTCCTAAGGGCTCCTACCTGTAACTCATGAGTCCAGGTTGGCAGTCAGGCCGAGGGTCACTATCGAAGGACTATGCCATCTTAATTTCACACTTGGGTGATTGGAATTTCGAAGGTCCAGCTCTTTTCCTCTGGCATAAAACCAATGGGAGAAGAAAAAAAACAACCACACAAAGCCACTGGCCGACTCACCATTTCATCAGGAACATGAGCTCTCCACTGGAGTCTGTAGCTCCAATAATCCGCTCCGGCTCCAAACCTCGAGCAAAGCCTCGTGGCTTTTCTGACTGTAAAAACAAGATTGGTAGAACAATTTTATCTATATGGGACTATTATCTAGACTTGGAACTATTCCTGTGTCTCTGATTAATGTAATCACAAACTCTTCTCTTTTTTTTTTTTGAGACGGAATCTCTGTTGCCCAGGATGGAGTGCAGTGGTGCGATCTCGGCTCACTGCAGCCTCTGCCTCCCAGGTTCAAGTAATTCTCCTGCCTCAGCTTCCTGAGGAGCTGGGACCACAGGCGCATGCCACCTTAGTAGAGACGGGGATTCACCATTTAGTCAGGATGGTCTTGATCTCCTGACCTTGTGATTCCCCCGCCTCAGCCTCCCAAGGGGCTGGGATTATAGGTGTGAGCCACTGTGCGCGGCCCAAACACAAACTTTTTTGCCAATATTTCACCAATACCTTGGCTCAAAGTAAGAGAGCTGTTAGAATTCTTTGGAGTGATTATTCATCAATGTCTGAAGCGCATGAGATTTTCCCATATGTGAAAAGGGACATACAGCCCAAGCAAAATCAATGTTTACACCTATCTCTTCACTCTCAAAAAACAACTTACTTTAAGGTACTGATTAAGTCAAAATAGCTACCTCACACCTTTAATGATTAAACATTGAAAACCGTTTTTTACAAGAATGAATTCACTTGCCCTTTTATCTGTCCCCAGCAAGTATCCCATTTACTGCTCTTGTACCATGGATAAAAAGTAAGAGATTGGCTGGGCGCAGTGGCTCAAGCCTGTAATCCCAGCACTTTGGGAGGCCGAGACGGGCGGATCATGAGGTCAGGAGATCGAGACCATCCTGGCGAACACGGTGAAACCCCGTCTCTACTAAAAAGTACAAAAAAACTAGCTGGGCGAGGTGGCGGGCGCCTGTAGTCCCAGCTACTAGGGAGGCTGAGGCAGGAGAATGGCGTAAACCCAGGAGGCGGAGCTTGCAGTGAGCTGAGATCCGGCCACTGCACTCCAGCCTGGGCGACAGAGCGAGACTCCGTCTCAAACAAACAAACAAAAAAGTAAGAGATCATGTGGCTTCATGAGAGTACACTCTCACTTTGTAGGCATTAGCCTACCTAAGATGTCAGAACTATGAAGAGATGGCTGCTAATATCTGGGAAGAAGCAAAACAAAACTACTTTGACAGTAGTTTGAATTGTGGGCCAGTAAAAATTCTTACTTCTATCCTTACCTCTTCTTTCTTCTTCTTTGGTTTGCTCTCCTCTCCCTTATCTTCAGAATCAGAATCAGCTTTGCGCTTGCCTCCCTCTGATTTATCTGTCTCATGTGCTGTTTTCTGTGACTGCAGAAACTCAGCAATGAGGTCGGGGCAATCCAGGTTTTCTTCTGGCTCCCATGTGTTGTCCTCATCTGAGAACCCCTTCCACTTTAGGAGGTACTCCACTTTGCCCTTTACCACTCGACGGTCGAGAACTTTTTCCACCACATATTCCTCTTCCTCCTCTTCTAGCACCTCCTCCACTTTCTTCTTGTTTTGTTTTTTCCCCATAGTGCCCGCCAGCTTTCTGGTGTAAAGGGTGACGCTGCTAAAATGATAAATGAAATAAAAAGGGAATTAGGGAGCACTCTTATTGGTTAGATAATATCTGGATGGTAAGAAAACCAGAGACATGACAGGTGATATTATATGCTGCTTACAGTAAGTGTGAGGCCTATTCTCACATTCGATACACAATAGTTTTCTGATATGTGCAGTCAGAAAGCTCATAAAACAGCCCCAATTAATCTTACAGCGAAACTTTTTTTTGAGAGACGGAGTCTTGCTTTGTTGCACAGGCTGGAGTGCAGTGGCACAATCTCGGCTTACCGCAACCTCTGCCTTCTGCGTTCAAGTGATTCTCCTGCCTCAGCTTCCCAAGCAGCTGGGACTGCAGGCATGTGCCACCAAGCCCAGCTAATTTTTGTATTTGTTTTTTTTTAGTAGAGACGGGACTTCACTACATGTCCTTATCTTCAGAATCAGAATCAGCTTTGCGCTTGCCTCCCTCTGATTTATCTGTCTCATGTGCTGTTTTCTGTGACGGCAGAAACTCATGAGGTCGGGGCAATCTAGGTTCTCTTCTGGCTCCCATGTGTTGTCCTCATCTGAGAACCCCTTCCACTTTAGGAGGTACTCCACTTTGCCCTTTACCACTCGACGGTCGAGAACTTTTTCCACCACATATTCCTCTTCCTCCTCTTCTAGCACCTCCTCCACTTTCTTCTTGTTTTGTTTTTTTCCCATAGTGCCCGCCAGCTTTCTGGTGTAAAGGGTGACGCTGCTAAAATGATAAATGAAATAAAAAGGGAATTAGGGAGCACTCTTATTGGTTAGATAATATCTGGATGGTAAGAAAACCAGAGACATGACAGGTGATATTATATGCTGCTTACAGTAAGTGTGAGGCCTATTCTCACATTCGATACACAATAGTTTTCTGATATGTGCAGTCAGAAAGCTCATAAAACAGCCCCAATTAATCTTACAGCGAAACTTTTTTTTGAGAGACGGAGTCTTGCTTTGTTGCACAGGCTGGAGTGCAGTGGCACAATCTCGGCTTACCGCAACCTCTGCCTTCTGCGTTCAAGTGATTCTCCTGCCTCAGCTTCCCAAGCAGCTGGGACTGCAGGCATGTGCCACCAAGCCCAGCTAATTTTTGTATTTGTTTTTTTTTAGTAGAGACGGGACTTCACTACATGTTGGCCAGGCTGGTCTCGAACTCCTGATCTCAGGTGATCCGCCTGCTTCGGCCTCCCAAAGTGTTGGAATTACAGGTGTGAACCACTGCGCCTGGCCTTCACAGCAAACTTCTTTATTCTTGTGTATCCATTTACAACTTTTATACCCATTCTTTGTAATTTAAAACGGCTCCCAATACTCCTTTTACCATAAAGCATGGTAGCTAGGGCCACGCGTGCAGGCTCACATCTGCAATCCCAGCATTTTGGAAGGCCGAAGTGGGATAATTCCTGGAGCCCAGGAGTGTGTGACCAGCCTAGGCAACATAGCAAGACCCCATCTCCACACACACAAAAAATCTGTAAAAGAGCATGGTAGCTAAAATATTGCATTAAACTCAAAGAAGGCCGGGCGCAGTGGCTCACACCTGTAATTCTAGCACTTTGGGAGGCGGAGGCGGGCAGATGGCCTGAGGTCAGGGGTTCAAGACCAGCCTGGCCAACATGGCAAGACCCTGTCCCTACTAAAAATACAAAAATTAGCCAGTCATGAGCCAGGATCGCATGACTGTACTCCAGCCTGGGCAACAGAGTGAGACTCCTGACCTCGTGATTCGCCTGCCTTGGCCTTCCAAAGTGCTGGGATTAGAGGCGTGAATGACCCCGCCCGGCCCTTTTTTTTTTTTCTTTTAAGACGGAGTCTCACGCCAGCCCAGGCTGGAGTGCAGTGGCACAATCTCGGCTCACTGCAACCTCCGCCTCCCGGGTTCAAGTGATTCTCCTGCCTCAGCCTCATGAGTAGCTGGGACTACAGGTGTGAGCCACCATGCCCAGCTAATTTTTGTATTTTTAGTAAAGACAGGGTTTCACCACGTTGGTCAGGCTGCCAGGCTGGTCTTGAACTCCTGACTTCGTGATTCGCCCATGGTGGCCTCCCAAAGTGCTGGGATTACAGGCATGAGCCACCAAGCCCCGCCCCGCCCCACCCACCTTTTTTTGAGACGGAGTCTCACTCCAGCCAGGCTGGAGTGCAGTGGCACAGTCTTGGCTCACTGCAACCTCCACCACCCGGGTTCAAGTGATTCTTCTGCCTCAGCCTTCTGAGTAGCTGGGACTACAGGTGTGTGCCACCATGCCCAGCTAGTTTTTGTATTTTTAGTAGAGACAGGGTTTCGCCATGTTGGCCAGGCTGGTCTCAAACTCCTGACCTCAAGTGATCCACCCGTCACAGAATCCCAAAGTGCTGGGATTACAGGCATGAGCCACTGTGCCCAGCCGAGTTCTCTTGTTCTTTATGCACTCTTTTCTGAATTGAACTTACAATTCACAAATTTCTTGTTAACTTATTGTATTTAGTTTATTTAACAACTTTTCTTCTTTTTTTGAGACAGTGTCTCTATCACCTAGGTTGGAATGCAGTGAAGTAATTATGGCTCACTGCAGCTTTGACCTCCCGGGCTCAAGTGATCCTCCTACCTCAGTCTCCTGAGTAGCTGGAACCACAGGTGTATGCCACCATGCCTGGCTAACTTTTTAAATTTTCAGTAAAGACAAGCTCTCACTATGTTGCCTAGGCTTGTTTCAAACTCCTAGGCTCAAGTGACCCTCCCGCCTCAGCCTCAAATACTGGGATTACAGGCATGAGTCATCACACCTGGCCTCCAATTTATTTCTAAAAACTAAGAGTCACAAAAATGCCAGAATGACCATGGAATTCTAAACTGGAACCCTGTAATAATCTGGAAAACAAGTGTGGGGAAAACAGAATTGTAGTTATCAAAGATAATAGAATCTGAGTTTACTCCTTTATAAAATACATCATCAAGCTGGGTAACATCTAAGAGTTTTTCCAGTGTTGAAATTTTAGTCCTTCATCTTATAAATCTTACAAATCTATTTAGTCCTTCATCCAAATTTCACTTTTTTGAGGGAGGGGGACAGAGTCTCCCTCTGTCACCCAGGCTGCAGTGTAATGGTGCTATCTCGGCTCACCTACGCCTCTAGGGTTCAAGCGATTCTCATGCCTCAGTCTCCTGAGTAGCTGGGACTACAGGCGCCCACCACCAGGCCCGGTTGATTTTTGTATATTTAGTGGAGATGGGGTTTCAGCATGTTGGCCAGGCTGGTCTCCAACTCCTGACCTCAAATGACCTGCCTGCTTCGGTTTCCCAAAATACTGGAATTAACAGGCCTGCGCTACTGGACCCAACTCTGACTTCTCACAGACTTAAAGACTTAAAGATTACCAATTTCTGTCAGTAGATGGCGCTATATCAATGAAACAAAATTGATCAACAAAACTGGCCAAAGAATTACTTGGATGGCAGGTAATCCAAGACAAGGAAGAAAGAGTTACTTCTCTGCTTGAGTTTTCTAAATACTGTAAAACTAGCATGTACAGACAGACTGCATGTAGAAAGAGTCCATCTACAAGGCCGGGTGTGGTGGTTCGCGCCTGTAATCCCAGCACTTTGGGAGACCAAGGCAGGCAGATCACAAGGTCAGGAGTTCGAGACCAGCCTGGCCAACATGGTGAAACCCCATCTCTACTAAAAACATAAAAATTAGCTGGGTGTGGTGGCGGGCGCCTGTAGTCCCAGCTACTCGGGAGGCTGAAGCAGGGGAATTGCTTGAACCTGGGAGGCGGAGGTTGCAGTGAGCCGAGATCGTGCCACTGCACTCTAGCCTGGGCGAGAGAGTGAGACTCTGCCAAAAAAAGAAAAAGAAAAAGAAAAAGAGTCCATCTACAGACTACGTGAAATATAATAAGCCTTTCACATGTATCAGGATCATTGTTATGAATCAGCTATATCATCTACAGATGCTTTATAGTCTCAGAAATAAAAGTATATTCCCACATCTGCATCTATGAATAATGCTGACTTAAAGTTTGGTAACTAGAAAATTCTAGATACTGTGTGGAATACTAGATATTAAGGAGAATAAGAAATGTTCCCTGCCTTCCTGAAGCTTAATGTCTAATAATAAATAATTTAGATACTTCTTCTACCAAAGGTATTCTGAAATCTTGCAGGGTGGCACAGAATTTTTCTGAGGTCCTTTTAGTGTGGCTGAAGACAACACCCACCCCTTGTCCACACAGTTCTGCACTCTGAACACACATCAGTGTTAAGAGCTCATATACCAGTCTGAACAACATGCAGAAACCCCCACCTCTACTAAAAATACAAAAAAATTAGCCATGTGTGGTGGCACATGCCTGTAATCCCAGCTACTTGGGAGGCTGAAGCAGGAGAACTGCTTGAACCCCGGAGGCAGAGGTGGCGATGAGCTGAGATGGCACCACTGCACTCCAGCCTGGGAAACAAGAGCAAAACTCTGCCTCAAAAAAATAATAATAAAATTTAAAAAGAGCTCATATAGCTATCTTTTCAACACTCCTCCTCTCCATTTACTCACTGCTACAGACTCTGCTTTCCTTCTCTACCCAACCCCTTGTTGTCTTTTAGAGAAAGTTCTAGATAAGTCTTCCTTTCCTTCTGTTACTAAACAGACTAACCAATGGATTGCATGTAATCTTTGGCTAATTCTTGGCTAGCTTTATTGTGCCTATGATTTAGGGGCATGTGCTTCTTCCTGGAGGGAGACGCTTTCAGGTTTTCAGAATTCTGATTGCCCAATGACAAGTATTATTTTATGAGAAAAGAAAAATCTAACTTTCCTCTTGGATAAATGCAGTGTTTTCTCCCAAGAACACATGCTACTCTTTGCTTGCTTCCTTTCACTGTCAGTTCAAGGGGTGGCAAGATTCACTATCAGTCTTTGGTTATAGCACAGGGAAAAGTAAACTGACAATCACCTTTAGGTACAAGGCTACCACAACACCTTTTCTCAACAGACAGAAAGGAAGGAGTGAGTCATGGACTGTCTAAAATCAGTAACTGGGCCAGGCGCAGTGGCTCATACCAGTGATCCCAACACTTTGGGAGGCTGAGGTGGGTGGACTGCTTGAGCCCAGGTGTTCAAGACAAGCCTGGGCAACATAGCACGATGCTCTCTACAAAAAATTGACAAATTAGGCTGGGCGTTGTGACTCACACCTATAATCCCAGCACTTTGGTAGGCTGAGGTGGGCGGATCACCTGAGGTTGGGAGTTCAACACCAGCCTGGCCAACATGGTGAAACTCCATCTCTACTAAAAATACAAAAATTAGCTGGGCTTGGTGGTGCGCACCTGTAATCCCAGCCACTCAGGGAGCTGTGGCAGGAGAATTGCTTGAACCCGGGAGATGGAGGTTGCAGTGAGCTGAGATCATGCCACTGCACTCCAGCCTGGGGGACAGAGTAAAACTCTATCTCAAAAAAAAAAAAAATTTTTACGAATTAGTCAGGTGTGGTGGTGTGTGCTTATAATCCTAGCTACTTGGGAGGCTGAGGTGGGAGGACTGCTTGAGCCTAGGAGTTTGAAGTTATAATGAACTATGATAGTGCTACCAGACTCCAGCCTGGGTGACAGAGCACAATCCTATCTCCAAACAAAACAAAGCACACCGCCCCCCAGCTAAACGCCCCCCAAATTCAATTATTGTCCTCTAATAGCCGATCTCCCAAGTAATTAAAGGCACTCTATCACTATGGCTT